GAGAGAGAGAGAGAGAGAGAGAGAGAGAGAGAGAGAGAGAGAGATGAACTCCTCCGTGGGCCTGGTGGACAGCCCCAGATTACATGTTCTGTGCAGGGTGAGGTCCTATTTTCTGCTGCTTCAGGGGCTGAAGAAGCTGTGTTCTTGGGGGAGGGACTTGTCAAGCCCTGCAGTTAAAGGTCCTGCCTCCTGGTTATCAGTCAGACAAGCTTCCCTATCCAAGGTTTCTGGGCTGGAAAGGTGGGGGCAGGGGAGTGGGAGGTCCTTGCTACTACTGAGCCCTCAGCTTCCTCTGGGAACCCAGGATCTTTTGGCCAAGATATGGGGAGGCAGTGTCAGATCCTTTCCCTTCACCTTCCTACACCAACAATCAACCTGCACGTCTCCTTTTCACCAAAGGCAAATGTTGGGGGCCTCCCACCTAAGTGTCATCTTGGGCAATGGTTGGAAGGCCGATGGTGACAGCCCCAGCTGTGCGTCTTAGAGACCAGTGACATCAGCCACCACTCTGAGCGCTGGTTTTGCTATTAGTAGGATGAACATGACTGCAGAGAATGCCAGCGTGCAGATGGATGTGCTGGAAGCAGCCATTCTCCTAGCTTCCACTGCATGTGCATAGAGGGGGAGAGTGGCGCGATTTTCTCTGTACATGTGTGCTGTGGTATAAAACAGAGTGTAACAGCGCAGCACCTGGCACCAGCTGGCGTTCGGACCATAGTGAGTGTCTTTGCTATAGTGCACAGTGTCTGGCTCGCTCCTTTCTGTACCGGTTCCCCACTGTGAATTAGAAAGTCAGCTGTGGGCTACCACCATCCTCAGTGAGCGTGAGAGGGAAGTGGGCGGCATGCAGGCAAACCCTCTGCAGCTATAAGATTGTGGCCAGGTCTCTACATCCAAAACTGGAAATCTAGGTCCACAAAAGAGCTATGGGTCTTGGGGATATGCCCAGGGCTGGCTTCTGGACTCTGTGGAGGCTGGGCTGATGGAAAGCACAGGGACTCCTGCTGGATGCCGAGGTGTAGCAGGTCTCAGACCTTTCCCCCTCAGGCCTGGGCAGAGCTTTCTGGGATGCTTTATCAGAAGAGGGGTGGCTGTGGGGGAGAACAGAGCCTTTCATCCCAGGATGTCTGGTCCACTCCACCCTGTACAGACAGCCCCCCTCACTCCTCACCCCTCCACACTGGCAGCCTAAACTACCTCACTCTCTAGTGCTGGTGGTGACAGGGTGCCTACCTGGGATAGTGGGCATGGACTGGCTGGCAAAACTCATTTGCGAGAGGATGGATGCCCTGGGAGGGATGGCGGTGTGCTCCGAGAGGTTGGTGTCGCTCATGAATTCGTGCTTCCTAGAGAGCTGGGTGAACACATCACACACACATACCACAGAGGCTTAGCATGAGGCAGATATGATCCCTAGAGGGCAGGGATGAGGGCTTGGCATGGTCTCTATGACTCTGTCTCCTTCGCTCTGGTTACACCCTTTCCAGGTGAGTCTACCATGTCTGGTCACTGCGCACTGCCCAACTCCATGGGATGTTGCAGGGAGCACATTTAGACCATCACAGGAGTGGTGCTTCCTAACACTGTGAAACACAAGCGATGCCCATCTTTTTGCCTCTGGCAAAAGTAAACTCTGAAGCCCGCTGGGAAAGTTTGTGGAGGACCCTTCTAGAACAGTTAAGGGCCAGGGAGGTAGCTCAGCAGCATAAGCACCTGCTTGGTAAGTGCATGGTCCTGAGTTTGATCCCCAGTACCCCACCCCCCAAAAAAGTAGAAGTTAATCCTTTTCTGCCTCCCAGTTCCTTAGAATATAAAATAAGCCCTTTTGCTTGGGGTGGGGGAGCGAAGACTGAACTGCAGGACAGTCTGATGCTAACTCTCATTACTACTTATTGCTAGTAATAATTAGTTATTGCTAGTTATTAATTTATGAAACCAAAAGTCAGAGCAGTGAAGTTTCTGTCCGTGCATCCCCACCTAGACCTCCAGAATTCTGAAGGATTGCAATACAGGTTGAGATGGTAGTGGTTGGAATGGCCCTGGGGACAGAGGGCTGGGGACATAGGAACACCTGGCTCAGCATCAGGTGGGATCCTCTCTGCAGCCTTCCAAAGGACCTCTATGAGCTCTGGAGTCCCAGGCCTAGGTACAGTGGTCATCTCTGTTTCATCCACCTATCCCTGCTACACAAATGTCCCTTCCCTGCTTCCCAGTTCTACTTTCATGCACCCACTGTCCTATGGGCATGCGGCCATGCCTCACAGCCCTGGGTGACCTGCCTGCACAAGAGCTTTGTCAGCAGGGTTGGCTAGGTGAAGCCACCTCCACCACTTACCCGCTTCAAGTCTGACTCTGCTGTGGTTTTCTCATCTGCAAATACCACACTGCTCCTCTTTGACCTCTTCTTAGACCGCCGCAGCTTGACCTCAGGCAGTGTGCTTCCCGGGGAGATAGGCTCCTCCTGCTCAGCTTTTGGGGTCTTGGGTGGTACCAGATCCAGGTCGAAGCTGAAGGGCAAGTGGGACAGCAGAGGCACTGTGATTAGCCCTTCCATGGAACCACCTGGCAGGGACTAGGTCTCTGCAGGGTCAGGGGCAGATCAGCTAACCTAGCAGAAAATTTAGGGACTCATGAGCTTAATTTGCAATTATTCAAATTAAAATATAATGTGATTGAAGGTAGCAAGCCATTAAAAAAAGCAAGACTGACTGTAAGATGACAATACTGTTTAAAAACATGGATTTCCAGCCACTGGCACTTCTGAATTGAATGCTTTTGGGCAAATTCTTCAACTTCCTCAAATTTCACTTCTTTTCCAACAAGAGGGATAGGTGCAGAAAATCAAGGGATGACTCTGAAATAAGGTCTGGGGAGCCAAGTCATTATAGGGCTAAGGCTTTGAGCCATTACTACCAGCCCAGTTGTAGCATGTGCATGGGGCCTGGACTTGGACATAGAATCTAGTACTGGAATAGTTGGGGAGGGCAGAGATGAGCCCAAGGTTTTGGGATTGTGGAAGGGAGGAGGGACCTAGCAGGGGTCTGGGTGGGGGCAGGGAGGCAGTCCAAGATGGGATCATTTCACCCTGGGTGGGGCATGTCCCTGTCCATCAGAGAGGAGCACAGGCCTAAGGAGGCACAGATGATGGGTCTAGAAGGATGAGGGGTGGCGAGTCCTCACAGGTTAGGAAAACCCACCTTCTCTGAGCCAGCAGTGGGTCTCTAAAAATGATATTAGACCTGGAAACTTTATGGGCTATGTGAGGGTTAGAAAAGCGGGGAGGAAGGAGGCACTGGGGAGAAGCAAAAAAAGGTGCAGGGAATGGCTGGAGGCAGGGACTGACTTGTCAGAAGTAGCCTTGCTCGGGGTACTGCAGTCAGAATTCATGGAAGCCAGAGAGATGATGGACATTTGCCTGTAGGAGCGCAGCATGGACCTGGGCCGGCCCACTCTCCTGTCATCAAAGTCAGGCTGTAGAGGGGAGAAGAGAATGGTTAACAGCCAGAGCTGAGACTTTGGGGACTCAGACTTCCTCCTGTCCCCTACCCTCAGACAGGATGGAATTATAGGGCTGAGCAGGTCATCAGCACAGGCCTTTATCTCTGGTTCCGAGGAGCTAATCTTTAAATTCTTAAAATTTCTAATACCATGGGAGTGTCTTGCTCATTCTTGGTGCCCCATGAACATACCTGACTTTATGCTAATAAGAGATGGCCTGGGGTGGCACGAGTGATGCCAAGAAGACCAACCAAGTCATTATAGGGCTGTCTTTGAGCCATTACTACCAGCCCAGCTGTAGCATGTGCATGGGGCCTGGACTTGGATCTTAAACAGGTGGCCAATAATTCATCAGTCATAACTACATATGGGAACCCCTGCAAAACCTGCAGACAGTTAAGTTCAGATGACCTTCCCCTATAATTGTACATCAGTGTGTCACAGGGGGACTCATCCTGAGGACACTGAAGCTTTAGGTCTGGGACTCTCCTCAATCTCACCCTATGCATGTTGCACGTGTCCATCAGGCTCACCCTGAATGTATCTTAACTTGAAATCACCAGTACAAAGTGCCTCAGCTCCTGCAGGGGTTGCATCTGGATAGCCCCATTATACAGTGAAAACATTTTAAGTCAGCGGCGTATTTAACAGACCTAACCTCCTGAAGATTCTAGCTTAGCAGCACAGGAGGTATAGAACATTGGCTGTTCGCCCTGTGGTTTCAGAGCATCGTAGAATTGAGACTGGTAAGCCAAACAATCATAAATTAGGATTATTTGTATGGTGAGTTGCTGAGTTTGGTGAGTTTCTCTAGCAAATTGTTACATGTGACGGGGTATGAGAATCCCCAAATTTGCAATTAGGCACAAGTGTAGATGGCTTGGGACTCTTGGAGTACACAACTGGTATCTGAAGGGGAGGAGTCCTGTAGTGGACTGTACTCACAGGCTGGGAAATTTGACCTAAAGTTTATCATCAGAATTGCATTGCAGAATTTCACAGGGGAAATATTGTGAAAGGAGACCTGTCTGTGAAAACACCTTGAGCAAGAGCCATGAGGTCTGAAGCTCATGCAAGAATCCTTTCCCCATTCCCGGTCTCTGTAAAGTGAGAGGGTTGGAGCGGTGGTCTCTACAGGACTATATGCTCTATGATTCTACTTTATGAAAAAGATGGTGACGATATCCCTGTACCAGGCCAAAGGCTTTGTGAGGGCAGGCAGCTTGTGGCCAACATAGTGTTTCTGGAGTCAATAGTGCCAGGTACCAGTTCTACCCTTTAGTCCCTTGCAATAGACTTTGGCGAATTATTTGACACCTCTGAACCTCAGAAGAGACAAGGGGCTGGAAAGCATTCCTACCTGCTACGTGTATCATGATGCGCAAATGGCCTGGTAGATGTGAGGTGCTTATTTAGATCCGGGCTGCACGCAGCAGGTGCTTTAGTGATGCAGCTTTTATAAGTAATCAGTTCCAGGCACAGTTGGTGTATACACAGCCCTAGTTTGTAATTAATGCCTATTTGCAGGTGACTTTAGGGACCAAGTTTACAGGCAGGAGCTTCTGGAGGGCAGGCTCCTTTGCTGGTCTCCTTTCAGCTGTGATTTCCACAACCCTTCCCTATCCCACCCCAACTCCCTCCACCTCCATCCCCAGGTGCAGGGACCGCCCCTACCATCTCTCGGACACCATATTCCTTCTCAACTTTCGCTTTCAGGCTCTTGAAACATTCCTCCATTCGGTCATGGAAGGGACGCAGGTTGTCAGCTACCCTTTTCTCGTGGATCTTAATCCCAGCTCCTAGGAATGGGATCTAGAGAGAAGGGTGGTAAAGGATGAGCCTGAAGCTGGCCAGCACTTTAGGTCAAGACCACCTGCTCAGAATTCACTTAGAGCTTCAGTGAATCCCATTGACAGTGCTACAAGCTTCAGAACCAATTGTTCTGGTCCCAGGGACCGAGGGAAGCTCCTCTCTGTGCTCTTGAGCTCATGATTCACAATGCTACAGATGCCAGCATCACCTGCGTTCATCCAGTGGGGCATGGGAGACGGTCCTATCCCATCCTGTGGGTTCAGAACTACAGCTACTGGTGTCCCAGGCCCAGGCATCTTCTACTTTCTTGGTTGGAGTCCTGGGGAAGGTCTCTTTCCCATCCTGTGGCTCGGGAACCATGCCTGCTGGTGCCAGAATCTTGCTATCACTCTACTTGTCCTGAAGGGCTGCAGTTCTCTACACTTTAGCTGTTACACAAGCCCAAGTGTCACCAGAGCTCAACTCCATGGAGTCTGAGGACATTTTGTAAGTCATATACTTTCTTCCTTAACTGATGCAGTCTACACTGTAGAGGACCTTATAGGCACTGTTGACATCAATCAAAGATGAACAAATTGCACAGAGATGATGTTTTTGAGCTCCTCTATCACCAAGCCTAAAGCATTTACCTAGAATCCTGTATCTTGTCTAAGTGAACACTTTTTTCTTACAAATGTTTTTGGTAAAACTGGGGAAAAATCCCAAATGTTGCACCAAAACAGCAGACATCAAAGTAAAGACCAAAGAAACATGGAGGGAAATGCAACACCTCTAAAGGAGAACAATAATTTTTCAGAGATAGATCTCAATTTGAAAGAAATCTAAGATACTAGAAAAAGAATTTAAAATAAGGGTCTTAAAAAACTCATTGGGATGGAAGTGAATACATACAAACAGTATAAAAAGTGTCAAAAACAATTCGGAGTATGACTGGGAGTTCACCAAAGAGATACAAATGATAAGAAACTGAGCTTGGTGGAGGAGGCCTATAATTCTTGCACTTAGGAGGCCGAGGCAGGAGGATTGCTGTGAGTTCAAGGCCAGCCTGAGCTACTCAGTGAGACCCATTCTCAAGCCCCTTCCAAAAACTGAAAGAACCAAATTGAAATCTTAGAACCAAGAACTTTAATGAAGTAGACAAATGCAACAGAGATCTTTCCTGTCAGATTAGAACAAGCAGAAAGAAAAATTTTTAAACTTGAGGACAGTCTTTTGAATTAACTAGTCAGAGAAAGAGGAAAGAATAGAGATAGACAGACATCCACATATAAGAAGCTCAGAGGATCTCACCCAGATTCAACCCAAACAGACTTTAACCAAGGCATATTATAGTCAAAATGTCAAAGTACTACTAAAAGAGCAAATTCTCAAAACATCAAGAAAAAACATTCCCACATACCAATAAGGGGATGCCCATTAGACTTGTAGCAGAATTCTCAGCGGGAACCATAAAGTCCCATAGAAAATTGGAGGATGTGTACAAAATACTCGGAAAACCTAAATCCAAACAAAAACACCTGCTGACCAAGAACAATATGCCCAACAAAATTGTCCTTCAAAACTAAAGTATAAATGTGTTTCCCACAAGCAGAAACTGAGTGAATTCATCACTATCCAGCCAGCCTTAAAAGACATATTGGAGGGAATCCTATAGTTTAAGAAAGGGTAACTAATATTATGAAAATACATGAATATAAAAGACACAGTGGGAGAACAGATTTACAAAACAAAAGAGTATTAAGCCTTAGCAGGATGGAAAACTACCAAGTCACCAAAATAGCAAGAGGTGAAAAAGAACAAAAAATATGCAAAATAAGCAGAATGCAATTAACAAAATGACAGGAGGAAGGGCTTACCTATAACAACTATGAATGTCAATGGATTAAATACACTAATCAAAAGCCTTATTCTGGATGAGTACAAAATTAAAACAAAACCCTGAGATAGGCTGCCTATGAAGAACTCAGTTTCCTAGTAAAGGTACACATGTAGACTAGTACTGAAAAACTGGACACCATGCAAACGGAAACCAAATGGTGTGGGAGTAATGATATTCCTATTTGATAAAGCAGACTTTAAACCAAAACCAGTAAATAGTGGCAAAGAGGGTCATTATGTGTTGATAAAAGGTTCAATTCAGTAAGAAGATAGAGCAGTTGCAAATCTATATACACCTAACACAAAACCACCCAAATATATCAAGCCAATATTATTAGATGTAAAGTGAGAGAAAGACTAATATAAAAATTGGGGACTTCAACACCTCCTTTCCTTCAATGGACATACCAGTCAGACAGAAAAGCAGCAAAAATATCTGAGTTGAAGGGAAAATGCCAAGCAGAATTCCCCTTCTTCTGAGAAATGAAGCCACTAGTCTCCTTTACCTGACCTTTACTTTTACCCTATTCACTATGCAGAGCTGGGTGTGTAGAAGCAGATGTTCCTTTAACTGTCCAAAAGAATGTGACTGAATTTGACCAAGGCACCGATGCATCTCATTACAGCAAAATGGGTCAGAATTGCCCCCCTGCTGATGGCTGGAATGAAGTCTTGGGTAAGAGCCTGAGAAATTCCAAGGCTAAGACATGAGATAGCATGTCAGTCAAGGCCATGGGACTCAAGAAGAATTATACGTTCCTGGTAGTACAGGCGCCAGCCTTTCATACACCAAGCTATGTGCTGCATTACTAACTGGGGAGCCTAGGTGCCTGGTTCAGTTGTGTGGTTTCTCCTGATAGCCTCTGCCTGCACAGTTTCTCTTCCCATGCACCCTCCCACAATGGTGACACACACTTGTCTCCCTGATTGGTACCAATAAAAGCCTTGGGCACTTGGGACTCTTGGCCCTTTTTTTCCACTGAGAGCAACTGGTCATCCTGGAGGTCTTTCAATGCAGATCTCTTTATCTTTTTTCATCTATGTGCTATATCACCGGGTGGGAGACCTAAGCCTCTCCGGGGTTTTGGTAAAACATAATACAGAGCAATTATAGAACAATTCATTCAATAACAGCAGAATATACATTATTCATGGATAGATGGTATGTTAGGATACAAATCAAGTTTCCAATCAATTTTTTTTTTTTTTTTTTGTATTTTAGGGACAGGTCTACAGGGTGTTCAGGGTCTCACTACTAGAATGGACTCCTAGTGATCTGCCTGTTTACAGCCTCTCAAGAGCAGGGATTAAAGGTGCGGGCCACCACGCCCAGTTTCAATTGCCCTGTCAGTGTGCCCCCAGGGTGGGGCCAGCACAGTAGGCTCAAGGATTGAACCCCTGACCCCTGTGCCTGCTTGCAGGTGCTTTAATCATCTGAGCTATTTGGCTGGCCCTCCAATCAATTTTAAAAAAAAAACAAAACAGAAATATCAGGTATTTTCTCAAACTACAATGGAATAAAAGTACAAATCAACAGGAACAGAAAGTACACAAATATGTGAACATTAAATAATATCCTCTGAAATTACCAATACATAGATAACGGAAGAAATTGAAAAGGAAACAAAACTATTTCTTGAAACAAATGAAAATGATAGGCAAATTATCAAAATCCACGGGATACCATGGCAACAGTAATGAGAGGGAAGTTTGTATCAGTAAACACTACAAAAAAATAAAAATCCCAAATATACAACCTAACAGTGTACTTCAAACAGCTAGAAAAGCAAGAACAAACTAAACTCAAAATTAGTGAATAGAAAAAAAAAGATCAAAATACAACTAAATAAACCAAAATTCAAAAGAAATAAAACATAAATGAAACAAAAAGTCAGGTTTTTGAAAGTATAAACAATTGCCAAACCTTTAGGTAGGCTAATGAAGAAAAACAGATGGCTTAATAATATTAGAGATAAAAAAGAGACATTACAAATGATACCATAGAAATACAAAGGCTCACAAGAAATTATTAGGGGCCGGCAAGATAGCTCAGTGGACTAAGTGCCTGCTTTGGCAAGCAAAGGGGTCACAGTTTGATCCCCAGGCCCACATGCCATGCTGGCCCTGCCTCCAGGACATGCTGAGTTGGTATGCTGAGCCAGCATGCTGAGCCAGTGACAGAGTCCAGGTGTAGCGGCACACACCTGTAATCCCAGAGCTGGGGAGGCTGAAAACAGGAGGAACACTGTGAGTCCAAGCTGCGTAGTGAGACTGTGTAGCAAATACATAAATAAAAAAGTAAATTTTTAAAAAAGAAATTATTAGGAATAGTTCTATGCTAAACACTGGAAAAACCTAGCAGAACTAATTTTCCAAATACATATCATTTGCCAAAATTGAATTTGAGCAGGCAAAGAATAAATAATGAGATTAAAACAGTAATTCTCCCATCTAAAGTGTTCTGGCTTTACTGTTAAATGCCACAAAATATTTAAAGAACTTGTTCTAATTTTTCCTAAACTTTTCCAAAAAGTTGAAATGGAAGGAATTTTGTCAAAGTTTGTATGAGGCCAGCATTACTCTGCTACCAAAGCCAGACAAAGATGCAGCATAAAAAGAACAGATCTGTATCCCTGATGAAACCAGATGCAAAAGCTTTCAGCAAGATACTTGCAAACCAAATTCATCAACCTATCAGAAAGATCATACAGCACAACTGGGGAGGACTTATCCAGGAATCCAAGAATAGTTCAAAATACAAAAGTCAATAAGCATGATACAACACATCAACAGAAGGATCAAAACTGTAAGATCACTTAGAGAGACACAGAAAACACATTAAAATTTAATATTCTTCCATGTCAAAAATTAGGTACACAAGGTACATATCTCAGGATACTAAGAGGTATTGATTAAAAAAATCCTGTAGCCAATATACAAATGAGGAAAAACCTGAAAGCATTTTCTATAACATTGGGAACAAAATAAGGATGTCTATTTTCATCATTCTTTCTTCATACAGTGCTGGAAGTCTTAGCAAGAACATTTTGGCAAGAGAAAGAAATAAAAGGCATTAGAATTGGAAACAATGTTAAATAATCCATGTTTGCAGATGACATGAT